GAATGAGTAAATAGTTCCGTGATTTACTCTATTTCTTACTCTACCCACCATGAGAGTAAGGACAAGATCAGAACATAACGATGCCAACACAGAAGACACTGTTCAACATAACAGGCCAATTACACCTGATTAATCTTTGTATAATAGGAGCTGCCTCGTATGGGCCAATGGGCCTTATGCAGTTACCTTTATTCTCATGTTCTTATGTGCTTCGTCCCCCATTTATCCCCTATGTATCCCCCTTGTTTTTACCTTTACCACCTGACTCCGTACGGGTATAAATCAACGAGTCCTGTAATTTCATTTCACTTGAGAATGAACCATGGAGGTTCGAAACGTTGTGCAAATTGTATAAATAAGTGTAATACATTCTATAGTAATTCACTTTTTTCTTCACCTTGAAATAACAAAAATGAGTTTTGGAGAACTCCTCTTTCAGCTAAGCCCTGATGCTAAGAAAATAGTTAAGAGGGATAGAAGCCCTAAATCAGAAGATAGTAAATACTGAATATGCAGTCATATTCAATGAGACATGTTTAAAAGAAAACCTGCTGCAAGTATACACCAATAAATAAATAAATAAATAAATAAATAAATAAATAAATAAATATATATATATATATATATATATATATATATATATATATATATATATATAATATATATATATATATATATATATATATATATATATATATATATATATATATATATATATATATATATATATATATATATATATATATATATATATATATATATATATATGTACAGTATAATACATATTACTGTACTGTATATCACTTTTATATGTTATGATGTACAAAACAACATAACATACCTTAACTATGGGCAGTTTCGGTGCTATTACTTCGGGCAACATTTAGTTCTGTCATCAGCAGATGGTACCACTTACAAAGTATAAGCTCAAAATTTCAAGGGCATAGGACCTGGTCGAACAAGATGTGTAAACTACAGTAATTTTCTAGGTACACTACCTGGAAAAAAAAGTAGCCATTAGTACTGAGCTCCCATTTTCTCTGTGCAATTAGTCACATCTGTTGAAACAAATTATCAGGAGAAAGCACTAAGCCAGTATGACCAGCACATGAGGAAGATATTAGGAGTTGGGATATAAGTACAGAGGGCAGAAATGATGCAGATATGCATCATTTCATGCATGCAGGTTGGTGGATCGAACACCGACCTGCATGAAGCATGGTCGTCACTGTACCAACCAGCCCAAGTGGATGGATAGTCACATTTGTAGTAAAACATCGACATCCTGTCTTGAAATATTTTTGTTCATAGACACTATCTAGTTTGCACTTGGATTACAAGCACTCACCTACCATTTCAAACTGACTTTAACTTTTTGTAACACTTTTTTACAACAAAATCCCTACATAACCCACTGTAAAGATCAAGTTTAATGACTTTACTACCATCACAGCAGATAATGAGTTTCATGAACACAGGTATACATTTAGTCCCAGTCCTCCGAACATTTTTTGCCAAAAAATTCAACTACCAAAGAACTTGTACGACTTTACACAACTCACGTGTATAAAGGAAGTGACGATACAGTATTTCGGTCCATCCTGGACCCTCATCAAGTCTTAACAAAGCAGGAGTGGGTGTGTGTCAATATCAAGTCATTGCTTGATAGGGGTCCAGAATGGACTAAAACATCATCACTTTTTTTGTGTGTGTTTGTGTGTGGATTAGGTTATGTGATTCAGTCATGTTATTGTGGCTTATTCGCTGCTTAAATCACATGTCAATGATTATCCAACTAGACCAGAACCCCATTAACTACTTTGACAACACTGCCTAAGATACATCTTGCTCTTGGATATGGGGATCTCAACACATTTAACACGTGTTCTGACGACAATACAGTATACCAGTCAATACTACACAGCACACCACCACCTCCAAAGAAGTGGGTTAAGCACGCACTCCTTGCTGAATCTTGAAACAGATCAAAAGTACATTAAAATATTAGAATACCCCACCTTACACTAGCCAGTTGGTCATGTGCAATATTACATTGTTGAACAATGGGACTCAGGCTAGAGAAGACAATGTTTAATGTTGACATTTTTTTTAATTAACAATTGATCAATGCAAATTACAGAGTAAAGAATAATAAAAGGTTAGCCATTAGGCAAAAACATGAAATACAAGACAGTACATATGTGCAGCTAAAGTTTAGTTATATTAACCTGGTTTAGGTTAATAAAATCAACCCGTTCTAGCAAATTTAATAAGTCAATATTGACTTATTAAATATGTGCATAGGTGACATACTTAACATAATACAGTAGATACCCTTAAAAAGATTCATAGAAAACACCGACCTTACCTAACCTACTTAGTATGTTAAGATAAGCATCTTATTGCTTCGTAATTACATTTATTACCTAACCTATAAGAGGTATAGGTTAAGTAATAATTGTAATTACGAAGCAATAAGATGCTTATCTTAAGATACTAACAAGGTTAGGTAAGGTCGGTGTTTTCTATGAATCTTTTTAAGGGTATCTATTATGTTTAGTATATCACCTATGCACGTAGTTAATAAGACAATATTGACTTTACGAATTTGCGAGAACGGGTTGAATAAAATATGCCTACAGCTAGACAAGAACACCAAGCTGCCATCTTACTTCAAGAAATAGACTAAGGTATATGACAGCTTTTGATTTTAATGAATTTAACAGTTTAATGCAGCAGGCATCAAACTCTGTTTCGCACCAATCTTGCTCGATAACAAACTTCAACTCATAATACTGGTACAAGAAGCCAAGTGATTAGCAATGCTCGCCTACTAATTCCAGAATTGTTTAATATTTTTGAACAGTTATAAGTGTGGAAATTTCTTGGACTGCAAGATAAACTCGAGGAAGACTGCTTGATAATCATACAACATATAATAAAACAAAAATTATGACGTTCTCAAGTCTCACATAGGCATAGCCCTACAAAAATAAAACATAACCGGTATTTTTAACCATTATCACGAGCCATCAGATATGCAAAGTTCATTGCTGAACAGTTTTACATTTAACATACAATGCATTAACATGCCCACTTGTGTAATATCCATACTATATACAGTACACATCATTATTAACATCATTAACACTTTCGCGCTATCTGGACGCGCCGGTTTCGTCTAACGTAAACGCATAGTGGACATAAAGTTATGTCTATTTTTGAAATATTTGTATAAAATTCAATTTTTATCCGATTTACTTTGGGTTTGTTTCAAACTGCGAGCTATGAGGCTCTCTTTCTCACCACTAGGCTGCATGGTACAATAAGTTCATGAAAGGTGTGGATAACTTCGATCAAATGGTATTTTGTCCCAAACGGGTTGCAGGTGGGTGACTTTAGCCGTTTATACTGGTAATTCTTCCCCCATATCATGTATTATATGCATATGTCTGTTTAGGGAATTTTATTCCGATCAATATACAACCAAAAATAACTGTGTGCAACAAGTATAATCTTGACAAACATAACAAAAGTAAAAATATTTCGTGTGTGTTTGACGCTCACTGATATGTTCCAGCGTTGTTTTATATTTGTCGCTATTCTAACTTACGCTTTGTTGATATTTTTTACCTATGAGCACATAGAACATTCTATTGCGAACACATTGACATAAAAATGAATGACGTACATAGAAAATTAATGTCATGAGAGTGAAATAAGTATAAACTTTCAAAGCGCCGTGCGTCGTCCCGTCACCGATACCGGGTAACAATTTCACCACTTCCCACACTCTTGCAGGCGGGCTGCATCATTATTCTACGCTTATATTCATATCACCGTGTTGGGAATTTCATTGCGAGTCCATTGATACCAAAATTAACGCTGTAGAACAAGTGTGGAGGTGATTACAATCCCAAGAGTAAAAACATTTTGTTGCTGATGGGCGCTCACGGCGAGTCATCTACGTAGTTATTTATTTGGTGCTGGTATCCCTATATGTTTCGTGACTTATTTTACTAATGTTCTTCTAGAGAATTTTATTGCGAACACGTTGGTACCAAAATGAAATACGTAGCATGAGAACTAAGGTCAGAAGAGTAAAAAGAGTAATACACATTTTTGTTTTTACGCTTAAGCAATAAAAACGCAGCGCGCACATTCGGTTGGCTGAGTGACCTTTGCGGAGAGCGCGAAAGTGTTAATGCTATGGAGCCAATGTCTTCAGCAACATTGTACCAAGCTTTGATGACCCTATTAGTTTCATTTAATCACCGAATGTATTATCTTACCATTAAGGATGACAAATTTTAATGTTCATACATTTGTGTCACAACCTCTATGTATATAATATTACATACACATATTGATCAAAATACCTGTACTGTATCTTAAATGCTTAGAATTAAAGATATGCACAAACACTTTTTCAATACACTGTACAGTACAGTTTGACAAGTGTAATTTTCCCAAATATATGTGCAGAAATGATGCTATAATCAGTGAATGTCATCTTCTCAAACCCTGTATTGTACCGACATGATGTGACAATATTACTAAGTTCGGACAATACAATTTCCTTAAAATATAAGCGATTGTGTGAACTAGACAGCTTCACTACTTTATTACTCTAGACATGATATGTAACATAAACCAGCCAACCTCACACTATTACTCTGGACATGATAAATTTGGCAATAAGTAGCCAGCTTCACAATCAGTTGTACATGGTGATGGCCGTATGTGCCAATAATTATCTAAATGTGAAATATAATTACTCAATAGCAGGATATTGTCAGCACCAGGGCATACTGCTATTAGTTTGTCTTAGGAGTTTAATATAATACTACTAATTATAAGTGGTGGGTTGGGGCAGCTACAGCACTGCGCTGTATGTATCCCCATCAATGCAGGCATTGGGGAAGACTCTTGATGAACCCCCAGGATGCCCTATGGATTAGTGCACCATTTTAAGAGAATTTAATTGAATAAAAAGCTTCTATTGGAGAATGAATTTTAATAATTATGTGGAAAACCTACAACTTTTCTAATAGTTTATAGCTACAGTAGTTGACAAAAATTACAAACGATCTTCATTATTATTATTAAACACAGATTAAGTGCTAAATACAATTTCAATGTGCAGAGTTCATATATGCACTTATACAAGTTCCCTCCAAACTCTCCCCACACAAAGGGTTTAAAGTCACATTGGTAGGCATTTTAAGCTAGTGAACACCAACTCGTTACACATTTCATAATTATTACGTTTTATACAAATCAGATAGTCTAAATAATCCTATACAAATTTTAAGTTTGGGAGGTTATGTTTGACAGGTTAACAAGGTAGTATAAACTATTTGATGTTTATTTTGACTATGATGTACTGTATCTTGCACAAGCATAATTATTAATAAATGTACATTACACTGACTATTGAAAGCAAGTTTTGGAAATTGATAAATAATGAAGTGACTACACAGTGACGCTCATAATAATAGTACTGTATAGTGTAACATCTTGTGATAATCAACTCCCTCCTTGTGTATGCACTAGATATTATCATCACTGCTGCGTTAATGATTAGACTAAGTCATCCATTATTTAAAACAAATATTTTATGTTTTCACTTTTTTTTTTTTACCCATCAAATCAGCAAGGGGCAAAGACCAAATATAGAGTAAAAATACAAACATATAAATAAGAGCCATTAAAAGGAAATCGGCCAGATTAGAAGGTGTACGTTGCCTCTGTTACCTGGCTACACTTTATCAAGTTTATGTATATTATCTGATTATCATGGCACATTATTCTTCACATAAAGCTTCATCGTCATTGCATCACTCTCATATCACTCGACTGCTGCACTTCATTTTATTTTAAAGTCCCTATAGTTCACTTGGCCAATAGCGTAAAGAATCTTACGCTCTCAGTTCCTACAGCATAAAAAATTGTTTCAGCTATATCTACAACAAATGTTTGTAATTCTGGTCATTAGTAAAAATTCCAGACAAAACATTATTTAAATTCCATTACCAAGCATGTAATTAAACAGCTTGCAACAGCTTGCAAGTGGGTAACTGCAGCATTAATACACCAAACAATTTCTTTCATAAACTGCATTATCAAATATAAACATTAAGAGGCCAAAGGTAATCACAATTACACACACCTGTAATTGTGGTCTCGGTACCAGATCTGAGCTTTAGTACAAGCATCAACCAATAAGGACATGTGACACATCAGACAAGCCAAATTTGAAGTTATCAACTTGAAGTTATTCACTACTAAAAAATTTATCAGTACATCATCGGCTTGGCAGCCATTTATGGCAATGGAAAAAACACGGGCAGGTAGCGATGGTAGAAGTCAATGTCTACAGATAGAAAGAGGCAGAAAATTATGCGATCGAATTTATCCTTGTGCGACTCCAGCATCGTCCTGACGATGGGCAGGACGACCCTGACGGCCGACTCGTTGGGATACCCATACACCCCCGTCGATATGCAGGGAAAGGCCACAGTCCTTACATTGTTCTCAATCGCCAGCTGCAGTGCCCGCCTGTAGCAGGACTCGAGCACAGAGGGCAGCTCTCCCATGGGCCCCACGGTGTGAATGACATATCGGGCAGGCAGGGAGTAGCCTCCGGTGATCTTGGCATCGCCCGTGTCGCAGCCATTAAGGCTCTGGCACTCATTTAACAGGGAATACCCAGCTGCCCTATGTATGGCCCCGTCAACCCCACCGCCCCCTCGCAGAGTGTTGTTGGCGGCGTTGACGATAGCATCCACCTCTAAGGTGGTGATGTCCCCTACGAAGACGCTCACCTTCCGATTAAGGTCGGCGTCCACCTTGTAACAGCTCCCCTGAAGTATCTTGGCCACGCTAGAGTCGCTCAACCTCATCTTGTCGACGGCAAGTCTGTTCATCTTGTAATAATCTGGCCATGGTGCGATGGTCTGGAGGGTGGCAAACTTGGAGCCGCACTTGTACCTCTTGCGCCTCTCCTCCAGAGACAGCCCCAGACACCGCCTCTTGTCCTCCTCGAATTTGCTCATGTTGGCACTCACGCCGCTGCTGACGCACCTTGCTCCTCCACAAGACCTCCGGGGAGGTGCCTCGAGGTGCTGCTTCACCCTCACCAGTTGAGACGAGGAGAAAATAGCTGTCAATCCCGCTGAGAGACGGGAAGTGACGGCCTGACGGGTCGTAGACAGGTAGTAAACAAGACCCATTGAGCAGGGACTGTCCCTCACTCACAGACCTCACCACTCACCACGATATATATAGATATATAAATATATATATCTATATACACCTGGGTCAACTATGGCACAGTGTGCACGATGACGGCCGCCTCTTATATTAAACAATATATCTTCCCTCAGATGTATAATAAGTTTAGGTCCGTTATCATTTATATTTCCCTATTACATAGCAGATAATGCTCATACATCAAACGTAAATAAATATCATATAGTCATGTAAAGAATTTCGTAATAAACAAAAGTACAGATTATATAATATTCAGACAAAAAAAATCAAAACAGCTCATTTATTAGACGAATGTTGACTATTCACATTAGAGCTTTAATAGTAAACAACAATGTAATAGTTTCAATTTAAAATAACTAAATAAATGTAAAATATAGCTTAATTTCTTCCATTAAGAATTTTATTCATTTTTTTATATTTTTGTTAAAATAATGCAATATGGAGGCGGAGAGGATGAAATAACAGTGCATATGTATTATTATTATTATTGAGACGTACTGTAATACAAAGTAATGTAAGAGGTGTAATAAAGTCAAAATATTATTATTGTATAGATAATACGTTTGTAAAAAAATAATAAAAAAAATAATAATAATTCTTTGATCCTTTATATGTAATCCTCAGAAAAACAATGTTGTGTTAATTCCTGGTTGGGCTGGTCACTGGCCGCCCACCTCTATGCTACCTCCATAATCCTCCTTTATACTTGGACATAAAGCTCTTTTTTCACGTAATAAATATTAAAGTAATTATTACAGAAATAGTTTGTTTAGGAATATTTACCGTTCAGTGAGAGGGAAGTAGTGAGTGATGGACGGAGGTTACCCAGCCTCGGGAGGAACCAGTCACACACTGATCTGAGTAAACAATTGCAGTCATAGGCACTCACGGCCAGTCAGAGGCACTCACGGCCAGCAAGAGGCACTCACATAGCCACAATACTTCAAGCACACACTCACCGTACCATCAAGAAGGAGGAGGAGGGTTCATAGATCACAAGTTGTGATCTGCAGGAGGAAGAGGAAAGACCTTCACTCACCACCTACACGAGTTACTCACACTCGGGAGCTCGAGTCTGCAGGCCAGATACGGACTGGTGAGCGCCAGGAGGTGGATCAAGCGCTGATCTTCAAGACCTGAGAGCCATGAGCCTGGCCAAGATGCCCAACGAGAGGAAACTGACACTGTGTCGGAAGTACTACATGGGTAAGTGTCGTGCCCCGTGTGACCCCAGGCTGTGGCCCGGGCCGTCAAATAGGATGCAAAGCAATTCGATAAAGTTCGTTTTGTGATTGTCAAAACCATATATATTGTTATACAAGGATGTGGTACATTCTGGTAGGTTAGGCTTGGATGAGTCTGGTTGGGTTGGGTAAGGTTAGGTAAGTCTAAAGTCCGTTGATGAAGCGTCTTGTGTATTAACCTGAATATCCCTGAGGGCCACTACTACACTAGCTGCCTCGACGAGGACAGGAAGCTGGCGGCTTATAATAGGTCTCCCCATTTGTCCTAATGATTTTTTAAAGCTGGATTTTAAAGTTAAGAGTCTTTGCATATACGGCTTTGGCAGGTAGGTGGCTCCATGGGTTTATAACCCTGTGGGTGAAAAAACATCTGTTCTCAGTCCTACAATGTGGCTTGTTGAGCTTGAAACCGTTGCTCCTTTTTTGTGTTACATCTGACCTTTTGAAGAAATTGTCCAGATCAACATCCTCCAAATTGTTCAGTATTTTTAAAGTTTTGATGAGGTCTGCCCTGTCATGTCTGGTTTGGTGTGTTGTTGGTCCTGTGGCCCTCAACCTGTCCTGGTATGAGAGTTGACTTAGTTCTGGAATTATTTTTGTTACCCGGTGTTGAACTTTCTCCAATGAAGTTGCATCTTTCTGAAGATAAGGTCTCTGTGTCTGGGTGCAATAATCTAGGTGGGACACACCAGAGATTTATACAATTGAATGACTACCTTCTATCCCTTAAAATTAAATTTTTTTAAATTTTGCCCCGAGGGGCGAGTTTATTGGGCAGCGCCACTCATCTTGTGAGTGAACATACCGCCATAGCAGAATGTACAACACTCCCCAATAGGAAGAAAACCCGCTGGGTTGTTCATCCTGTCACTTGTACCCAGACACAGCTGGGACTTGCTTAACTGTCTCAAGTGAACAGCTCCTCAAACAAGAAGATTAACATTTATCAACCCTTAAAAGCTTACGTTATCTTGCGGGTGCAAAATGGGGAAATCTTTTAAGAACATTATCAATATTTGACAAATAGTGTTTTCCTAACTCAAACAATGTGGAGTTTATTATTCTACAGTTATTCCTAATGTATCTCAGGTGTTCACATTCACGTAGATAGTGGTCAAGGCGGTGTCCATCACTCTCACCACAGATTCTGCAACTTCGCTGATCAACTGTTGTTTCCATTCCAAATCTCCATGGATATTTGTATCCAAGACGGATTCTCGCTATTACAGATTCTCTCCCTCGTCGTCCTCCTCTTCGGCCATACTGATTGGGATTGCCAGCTGCAACCATGTTGTACCATCGTACAGATTCACTGGTTTGTGCTTCTATCCTCCTTTCCTCAGTTACCTTGTCACGGTGATGTTGCCTGATAATACCTCTAATTTGTAGTTGAGTCTTGGGTATGAAGTATTCAATATGGTCTCCTTCAGCGCCTTCAGCAGCCAGCACATCTGCTCGTTCATTCCCACATATTCCAACATGGGAGGGGATCCACAGAAACTTGATGACTCTTCCCTGATTGGTAAGTACTCTCACAGCTCTCTTGATTTCAGCGACTATTGCAAGATTTTCTGCCTGATTTTTACTTAGGCTTTGCAGTGCTGCTTTTGAATCGGTGCAAATCACTGCACCATTAGTGTTCCGTTCAAGAAACCTTAACGCCATAACAATGGCAGTTAGCTCTGCTTGCGTTCAAGAGGCATAGTTCTCAATACGTGCTTTTTCTTCATTTCTGCGTTGGAAGGTATTATCCTTGATTACCGTGTATGCTGCACCAGCCCTGCCATTGATAGGATTAGATGACCCGTCAGTGTAGATTTGATCTAGTTCATCTCCGGCTTCTTTATAAATGTCCTCGAGATACTTGTGCCTCATTTCTTGTGGTATCATGTTGGATTTTTTCATTGCCATTTCATTGATGATGATCTTGCATGAGTCATCCTCCCAGGGAGGTAACCTCTCTACAGGCAGGAGCTCACGGGCTTGCTCAAGCAGGTGAAGCTCTTCAAGGTAGCAGACTGCTCTGTGATGCCATTTTTTGCTTCTCCTGTTTCCCCCTGAAAGTAGCACAGAGCTCAGTTTTTTCTTGGCAATATCATTGTAATGGGGATCTCTGGCTATCCTAATTGCAAGCTTAGCATTCAGCTCCTGAATTCTGCTTTTAATACTGGGAAGGGACAACTCCTCTCGTAGATTAGACGTTTTGGCAGTTCTTGGGACTCCAAGAATGATTGTCATGGCTTCATTTTGAATGCTTTCAAGCCTTTTCATATCGCTTTGGGAGTAGGTGCACAGTACTGGTGCGGCATAGTCTATGACGGAGCGCACATAGGCTGTGTACATCATTTTGAGCACGGCAATAGAGGCTCCATGTCCATTCCAGGTCATAGCTTTCAGTTCCCTGAGTCGACTTTTGCATGTTCCTATGAGTTGATTGAGCTCCTCTTTCTTTCCCTTGTTAGAGCCGACAGTGACGCCAAGGTACCGGTAGTGGTCAACCCATTCAAGTGTTACACCATTAATTTGCAGTTCTTCATTTGCTCTCCGCTTGTGATGGGAGTATGCCTTCGTCTTGTTTGTGGAGAGAGTGAAACCGAGCTCAATACATTTCCTTCCGAGGAGTTCAATGGACTGTTCAATTTTTCCCAAGGTGGGAGCTTGTATTAGGACATCATCTGCATATCCCACTTGTTGTGTTCCTTCCGGAAAATCAATATTTGCAATGGCGTTCATAAGTACATTGAATAGTGTAGGGCTTAAGACTCCGCCTTGGGGGGTCCCGAGTTCCATATTCATTGTTCTGGAGACTGCTCCATTGAAGCAAACCTTGGCTTTCCTTCCTGTGAGGTAGTCTTCAACCCCCTTAAAGTCAAAGGTATGCTTGATTATTCCAAGGGTTTGGTTAGCTTATTTTTCTTCTTTTTACTGCTTCCCCTAACTGTTGGGCAACTTCCAGTGAGTGAAAGATTCAGACTCCAAGGTCCTTTTCTTCATCAATCTCCTGCACAGTAATGTTATTAATTTGGTAGTTGTGACATGGACTGTTATGCCCCACATGCAAGGTCTTGCATTTATTGATATTAAAAAGCATTTGTCAGTCATCTGACCATTTGTGGAGTTCATGTAGATCTCTTTAAAGTTGCAAGACCTCGATATCATTCTCTCTTCCCACTTTACCATAGATCTTTGTGTCATCTGCAAATTTGATGATGTGGTTTGTAATATTCTCAACTGTTCTCACTTATTACATTTCTCCAGTCAGATTCCTTCCCATTTAGCAGGATTCTTTATTTTCTTTGTTTTAGCCATTGTTTTATCCATTCTAGTATTCTACCATTTATTCCATGTGCCTGTAGTTTCCTTGCTACTCTTTCATGTGGTGCCTTGTTAAAAGCTTTAGCAAAGTCCGTGTAAACTACATCTACCGGAAGTCCTTTGTCTGAATAGCCGGTTACCATTTCCAAATATGTGAGCAGATTTGTAAGACAGGATTTATTTTTAACAAAACCATGTTGTGTTGATTTTACAAGATTGTTCACTGTGAGATGGTGAATGATTTCCTCCCTTAGGGTTCTCTCCATGAGCATGCAGATGTGCGATGTCAAGCTGATTGGACGTGTGTATGATGACTTACAGTATATTCTGGCTGGGATACAGGTTGGATACAGAAGATATCATAGAAACTTTATAGAAGTTTCAAAAATTTGTTAAGGTCATATTTTATTTCTGTATATACAGTACCAAATTACCTTAAGAATATTCCATTCTCAAAACTTTAAAATATGAGAACTACCAAGTATACAAAACTTAAATCTCAAAGTTCAATTTTTTTATGAATGAGTAGAGAATGATTGAAATATCCTTAGAGGATGGCATATATAGGCTGTCTCCTACTCTTTGGTCATATAAGAACCACATTGACCCTTGCACTGCGCACTTGGTTTTGGCAAAAACTTCATAGTGCAATTGTTAAGGTCATATTTTTATTGTTTTTATAAATGGTCAGGTAAAGTTAATGTCAAAATGTTTCCAAACTCAACTTTTTCATTTCAAAACACAGTGAAGAAAACATTAAAAACATTAAAATATAGCCTAAGTAAAAAATAAAAAATAACGCACAACTATCAAAACAACATTTTTGTTTGGCGCAGTGCAGTGGTTAAACTTTCCTCCAGGTCCTCTGAGCACTCAATAACTTCGCCCCTTTTCCCTGTACTATGTAGTCATACCGGCTTGTACCTTTATGATGGTGATTACCCCCACTACAAATGGGACGCAATCTGATGTGGGTAAATGACCGTATCGATTTACAGTTTTGTAGTTTAGGGCTTTCTCAAGGTGTTTAAAGCCATCACAAAGTCATTACTAGAAATGCATTACTCTAAATTAATATAATTGTATAAAAAGCTTTTAGAATGAATTTGAAGTTATTTTCAGTCTTTCTGGCTTGGTGCATTGTTTGGATACTAACTACAGTGCACTTACTTATTATTTACTAATTTTGAGATGTATGTATATTTTGATACAATAAACCTTATGTCCTAATGCTGGCCACTGTTGAGCAGACAATTTTACAAATTAAAACAAGGATAGGCCTAAGGTCAGCATTTCTCTTTGGCTGGATCTGTCGGTAGACATACAAACTGTACTGTCATAAACTTTATTGACGTAGGTGATGTCACATACTGTGCACACACACAGTGTAAAACATGTTTTATCTCTTACGTTCATTAGGTTAATTTAGGCAAGATAGGGTAGATTTGGTTAGGCTAAGGTAGGCTAGATTGAGTTTATTATAGAGTAATAATGACATAGAGCTAATATTTTTGTCTGATTTTAGACCCCCTCCCCCCCCCTTGCCCCTTTCAGACCTGTTGCAAACACTGATCCTCTTTAATCTCATTGATCATGATCTCTGTATTGCCACTTTAGCTGTTTAACCCATTCATTTTCTTCTGCAGCTGGGTTTGCGCTCCTGCCATTCATGTGGGCCATCAATGCGATGTGGTTTTTTAAAGAAGCTTTCTGGACTCCTCCCTACCCAGAGCAGAAGCAAATACGCAAATGTGAGTACATTAATATATACAGTATATATATATTTCATACCTAATAGCCAGAACACATTTCTTGGCTATTTGTCATGCAAGGCCAATTTGTCTAATAGGCAGTCATTTTTGTTATTTAAAAAAAAATCCAATTGGTTTATTTGAATTAATATTATTATATTATATTAAGAACATGAATTACTGACTTAGTTATGTTAGATTGAGATAGGGAAGGTTAGGTTTGGTCATATTTCTACGTTATTTTTAACTCGAATTAAAAAAAAATGAACTCATAAATAATGCAATGGAAAGGTTATGGTTTATATAAAATATATATATATATATATATATATATATATATATATATATATATATATATATATATATATATATATATATATATATATATATATATATATATATATAATATGGATTATTTTTGTATAATGTGTACTCTATATGATACTACTGTATTTTTTTTTACTGTGGTGCATAACAGAGATGTGTACAGTATTCTTTCTTCCTGTAGAGGGAACAGTATATAAAAAGAGAGAGAGAACACGGGGGTAAAGTTGCCAGTCTCCAGACAGCTAGCAGTCTTTGGATGTCTGCACCCCAAAAAAAAATGTATAGAACCTGCACCCATGCATAGAACGAGACCAGATAAATGTCTAAAACTTGTCGGGTATGGTCTAAAATCATACTGAAACAAGAAAAGAATCCTATAGAAACATTAAAATATATTTTATAACATTAATATTTCTATGATTCAATAACAGTTTTTCTGAAAATCATAAGCAAGTAATTTTGTTAATCTTCAGATTTAAGTGGGTTATGCAGTATTTTATTTATTTTGTTATATTTTGTAGTCAGCTTGATGTATGAGTCAAAGCGGCAGGATGACGCGAGGGGTAGCCATCTAGTAAGAGGCATTATTGTGCAATAAAAGGTGTCTGGGACCTTTCCTGACATTTGCTCCATTTCCTGATCTCTGACCACCAAACCAAGAACAGCATTGTACAATATTTCCCCACAAACTGTAAATTCCACTGACACTTGCCCCACATAGCACCCTACTTTGCCTATTAATATCAGACCTAACAGTCAGTGGTGTTTGAGAAATGAGTCATTGAATGAGGGTATCTGGTGTGAGTCTCTGGACAAATGACATTGAAGCAAAAAAATAAAGTGGCTACTAAAAATGTGCTGACAGACCTTACTATCATGGCCTTTAATATGGAAGCCTAATGCTCTGCATGTTCTTGAGAAATGAGCCGGTAAACATTCAGATGCCTGGCACGTATCTCCAATATTCCGGAGTACTAGTCTCTGGACTCTCACAGGTCCAACCATTCTGGAACCAGGTCTGTTATTCTGGGAGTGTTGCCTAATAGGGTGGAAGCCAAAGGAGTTGTAATGTAGTCCTAATATACATGGTTATACTGGCTAAATTTCCTTGCAAATGGGGGATCTGTCTCACCGTCTGGTTACCCACACTGCGGCAATTCATTACATTCAACTCTGGAATTTTGCATTGTGTGTCAGTAGAAATTCTACTTAATATTGAAGATACTGTAATTTAAAGTCTTGTGCTTCGTTCTCAACTTACAACGGGTATTCTGGATTCAAATCCCAGGAGGGAAAGAAATGGTTGGGCACATACCCTTTCACTTGATGCCTCTGTACACATACTCGTAAAAGGGTACCCAGGAGTTAGGCAACAGTTGTGGGGTTGCACCCTGGGGAGGGTCAGTGGTTCAACCTTGGGGGGTTATCTTTCTTGAAGTTATCTTGAGATGATTTCGGGGCTTTAGTGTCCCCGCGGCCCGGTCCTTGACCAGGCCTCCACCCCCAGGAAGCAGCCCGTGGCAGCTGACTAACACCCAAGTACCTATTTTACTGCTAGGTAACAGGGGCATAGGGTGAAAGAAACTCTGCCCATTGTTTCTCGACGGCACCCGGGATCGAACCCGGGACCACAGAATCACAAGTCCAGTGTGCTGTCCGCTCGGCCGACCGGCTCCCCGGTCGGGGGGACCACAATACAAGCCTAAAGTATAATAAACACAGGTTTCCTGTCCCAAACAAAACTAATAACAAATTAAATTAAATTAATTAAAAATTGTTAATGGCATGTATAAAGTTTGTATAGATTTTATATTTACACACATCAGCTGGTCAGCCACTTGTATGTTATTATTGTTGTGGCAGCTCATAAGCTTAACCAAGAAGTAATCAGTAGTATTTCAAACTTGTTCATTTGCTCAGCCTAAACTATTTGTAGCATTTAGATATGGAATTTTCTCCTGGTGAGCCCCTCCTGTCAGCGCTGTAATTAGTAACTTGTCTCGCACAGTGGGCATGCACACTCAACTCTCCCACCTCACACTATTGTACCCTAACACTCAGCTGTCTCTGCACTCAATTCTTCCCTACACTCAAGCTCTCCCAAATACTCAATTGTCTTCCAATATTCAAGTGTCCCTCTACACTCTACTGTACACATATACTCGGTTCTCCCTGCATGGTTCTTCCCTACAGTATACTTACTGCAATAGGTACCCCTGCCATAATAATGTAATAACAATTAAAAGTTATATTAATAGTACCAGATAATGTTAAGATTATGCTAATGCTGATTATGGTAATAATAATAATTACAACTCTATAAGCACTTGTATTAAGAGGCTAAGACTGCAAACAGGTTTTTGTATTTATTGGTATTCTGTTAACAGATGTGATCATATCAGCGGTGGGTGCGTTGGTGTGGCTGGTAGGACTCATCAGTTGGGTAGTGGTGTTCCAACAGAACCGCAGTGCGTGGGGAGCCACAGCTGACTATATGTCCTTCATCATTCCTAAAGGAGTGCCATAGTCACTCCTCATGCACATTACGCATGTGCTGACCAAAAAAAAAGGGGTCAAGGTTGACTGATGTATGTTTGGTCTTTAGTCACAACAAAATGTAGAATTAATGAAAGGGGTAGAATTATTTTTCATATGTCTTAATGTAATTGAAGTAGTTATCTTGCACTTTTATATTGCTCATAGAATACATGTCATCAAGGAGACAGAAGGGCATGATCTTTAGCATGGTACCTATACATTGAAAAGGCAAGGGTCAGCATTCATCAAGCATTTGTGCAGAATTGCAAGGCTTCTGTATATTTTCTTAATCATGGCAGCTCAGTTTGGATTTATTAAACAGTTTCTAAGGTTGGAAATTTTGCTACCCAATGTTGTTTATTGTTATGGACAATAAATTAATAAATGTAAACCAAGCCAACACGATTCAAGAAAGATGTACGGGTTTTGTTAGGAACATTTACGTGCTTGATAAATCAAGCCCCTGGTCTCAGTAAAAGCAAGAGTATGACCCAAGAATATAAACTCAATAAAAAATACTTTACTTAAATTGATTCTTGTGTGCTCACTCATCCTTGGAATATACCTGCCGGAAGTTTTTGTTTATACTTATCTTGTATATTGTACATCGAGTGTTTGCTATTATAAAGGCTGGTCATTACTACAGCAGTTTTGTGTGAAGGTGTTGTACTTCTCAGGATTGTCTTAGATATTTTGTAACATAATTTTTATGTGACCTCAGAGTACAGCCCTCTCATGCTCACTCAGGAGAGATGTCCCTCTTGACAGTTTAGTCAGAATTTAGCACACGATTCACAAGCTCTAAAGAACTATGAGGTTGTCCTCGGCCCAAGGTTATTATTATTATAGATGACCTCATAGTGCTTAGGAGGTTGTGAACTAGGTAATAAATGTAGACTAAAGTGCCTGATCAAGGTAAGAGGCACAACTCTCCCAGGTTAGTTGCATGACTCCTGTTTTGTAAATACTGGCAGTCTGCAGAACTTAATCCATCAGTATTGGGACAAGCATTTTGAAGTGTGTAAATATGAACTTGAGTACACAGAAAAAACACATTAACGTGATATATCAATGAACAAATCCAACAGGAGCCTTGACGAGGGTTTGAACCTATTAACCTAGTCGACAAGAGTGTGCCTGGGAACACCCAACGCGTAGGTTCAAACTTATCAAGGCTTCAGTTGAATTTTTTTAACAACATAGTTATTATTTGACCTTTGTTAATAAAGCTGTTAGGTGACTATAGCCACTAGCTACAGCTAGAGAACGTCCTTCATAGATGAGACACTTCATGTAAATGGTTATGACTATCAGCTGTTTCTTGATGTTTCACCAGTTGAGACATTTGAGTAAATTCCAAAAGGTACCCATTAGCACTAGTGTTTCTCAGTGACAAGGTGTGTACAGTTTAGGTCATGCTATTGATTCTCAAGGCTGGCACTGCATTTTGTCATCCTCTGCTTGCTTAATGAATAATGGGAGCTGAAATGTCGTTCCTTAACAAATTTCATGTGTGGCTTAGAACAAATTTCATGTGTGGTTTAGAACAAATTTCATGTGTGGCTTTGCATGAGTTAACAAAACACAAATCTCCATTTTAAGCTGTTCTGAATAATGTGTGGTTGTTATGAATGTAGAGTTAATACACCAAGGTGGAAGAAAACGTCGGTTGAAGATAACGTATCACTCTGAAGAGAGAGTTCTCTAATTAGTCTAACCAAAGATACAAATAAAAGACAGAATAGAATACATTATACATTTTTTCTGCTCAATTGTTTTCATAAAGTCTAGAAAAAATATGTTTTGTTAGAGCATTTTAAAGACTGTGGTATTAGGAGTATACCCATGTCTGTTGATCTTAGCAGTATGCCTGTTATTGTGGTTTAGTTTTGTTATTAGTTATTAAGGAGTAATATGTAATACACTATAGTGGCAGGATAAGACAGTATCCAAATGCATTCCTGGAGTCTGAAATGGATCCCTCAGCTGTTATTTAATTTCTTCTCCAAGGCTAAGGGTCCTCTCACATCCAACTAGTGGTGGTAGATGATGAGTCACAATAACGTGATTGAAAATATGATGACCAAACCACACACCAGAAGAGGAGATGACGATGTTTCGGTCCACCCTGGACCAGTGTCCTTGGGAACCATTCAAGCTTGATGCACAAATGATACTCGCGTGGGCCTCAGCACGATGAAGTGATTTGATGAAACATCTGTGCCCAAAATGGTCACTGAGAGCTGTTGGGAATTGGGTTAAAGGTCAGACGACTTCCAATTCTATTGTTCAGTCAGTGTGGCCTAGCAGTACAGTACTGGACACGCTAAGGGGCATAGAGCTATGGCTGTCCACGTTTGGATCCTTCAGGGTTATGGAGTTTTCTGATGCATGTTACTTTGGGGACCATTCAAGCTTGATGCACATATATATATATTTAGGAAAATTTATATATATATATATATATATATATATATATATAACTGAAAACTCACACCCCAGAAGTGACTCGAACCCATACTCCCAGAAGCAACGCAACTGGTATGTACAAGACGCCTTAATCCACTTGACCATCACGACCGGACAAAATGAGGTGATAGCCGAGGCTATTTGAACCACCCCACCGCCGGCACTCGGATAGTTATCTTGGGCATAGCATTTTACCAAATCACCTCATTCTTTGGGGCACACGTGAGGAACACAAATGCGAACAAGCCTGAATGGTCCCCAGGACAATATGCAACTGAAAACTCACACCCCAGAAGTGACTCGAACCCATACTCCCAGAAGCAACGCAACTGGTATGTACAAGACGCCTTAATCCACTTGACCATCACGACCGGACAAAATGAGGTGATAGCCGAGGCTATTTGAACCACCCCACCGCCGGCACTCGGATAGTTATCTTGGGCATAGCATTTTACCAAATAGCATAGCATTTCAGTTGCATATTGTCCTGGGGACCATTCAGGCTTGTTCGCATTTGTGTTCCTCACGTGTGCCCCAAAGAATGAGGTGATTTGGTAAAATGCTATGCCCAAGATAACTATCCGAGTGCCGGCGGTGGGGTGGTTCAAATAGCCTCGGCTATCACCTCATTTTGTCCGGTCGTGATGGTCAAGTGGATTAAGGCGTCTTGTACATACCAGTTGCGTTGCTTCTGGGAGTATGGGTTCGAGTCACTTCTGGGGTGTGAGTTTTCAGTTGCATATTGTCCTGGGGACCATTCAGGCTTGTTCGCATTTGTGTTCCTCACGTGTGCCCCAAAGAATGAGGTGATTTGGTAAAATGCTATGCCCAAGATAACTATCCGAGTGCCGGCGGTGGGGTGGTTCAAATAGCCTCGGCTATCACCTCATTTTGTCCGGTCGTGATGGTCAAGTGGATTAAGGCGTCTTGTACATACCAGTTGCGTTGCTTCTGGGAGTATGGGTTCGAGTCACTTCTGGGGTGTGAGTTTTCAGTTGCATATTGTCCTGGGGACCATTCAGGCTTGTTCGCATATATATATATATATATATATATATATATATATATATATATATATATATATATATATTAGTATATTTTGGTAGCAGTCTTTCCTGTAGACATATATTATTAAATATGACCGAAAAAGTAAGATTAATAATTCTAACACGAATTTTCTCAATCTTTCGTACATTTCTTTTCACTGTTGGAGGTAAATAAAAAATCAATTCTCCAAAATTCATTTTTATTTCTAGTCTGACGCGACACGAGCGCGTTTCGTAAAACTTATTACATTTTCAAAGACTTTAGTTCACAAATACACAACTGAATAGAACCTACGCATCTCCGATTTTATATCTACATTTGAGTGAGGTGGAAGGGGTGATGTGGCATTAACACAAGACAGAACAAGATGTGGCGTTAATAGGGTATTAATTTCATCAACACAAGACAGAACAAGAGTATTAATAGGGTATTAATTTCATCAACACAAGACAGAACACGAAACAATGGATATTGAATAGAAGTGTTTGTAGAAAGCCTATTGGTCCATATTTCTTGATGCTTCTATATTGGAGCGGAGTCTTGAGGTGGGTAGAATATAGTTGTGCAATAATTGGCTGTTGATTGCTGGTGTTGACTTCTTGATGTGTAGTGCCTCGCAAACGTCAAGCCGCCTGCTATCGCTGTATCTATCGAAGAGGCACTACACATCAAGAAGTCAACACCAGCAATCAACAGCCAATTATTGCACAACTATATTCTACCCACCTCAAGACTCCGCTCCAATATAGAAGCATCAAGAAATATGGACCAATAGGCTTTCTACAAACACTTCTATTCAATATCCATTGTTTCGTGTTCTGTCTTGTGTTGATGAAATTAATACCCTATTAATACTCTTGTTCTGTCTTGTGTTGATGAAATTAATACCCTATTAATGCCACATCTTGTTCTGTCTTGTGTTAATGCCACATCACCCCTTCCACCTCACTCAAATGTAGATATAAAATCGGAGATGCGTAAGTTCTATTCAGTTGTGTATTTGTGAACTAAAGTCTTTGAAAATGTAATAAGTTTTACGAAACGCGCTCGTGTCGCGTCAGACTAGAAATAAAAATGAATTTTGGAGAATTGATTTTTGATTTACCTCCAACAGTGAAAAGAAATGTACGAAAGATTGAGAAAATTCGTGTTAGAATTATTAATCTTACTTTTTCGGTCATATTTAATATATATATATATATATATATATGTCGTACCTAGTAGCCAGAACTCACTTCTCAGCCTACTATGCAAGGCCCGATTTGCCTAATAAGCCAAGTTTTCATGAATTAATTGTTTTTCGACTACCTAACCTACCTAACCTAACCTAACCTAACCTAACCTAAGTTTTTCGGCTACATAACCCAACCTAACCTTATAGAGATAGGGTAGGTTAGGTTAGGTAGGGTTGGTTAGGTTCGGTCATATATCTACGTTAATTTTAGCTCCAATGAAAAAAAAATAACCTCATACATAATGAAATGGGTAGCTTTATCATTTCAAAAGAAAAAATTTAGAGAAAATATATTAATTCATGAAAACTTGACTTATTAGGCAAATCGGGCCATGCATAGTAGGCTGAGAAGTGAGTTCTGGCTACTAGGTACGACATATATATATATATATATATATATATATATATATATATATATATATATATATATATATATATATATATATATATATATATATATATATATATATTTTAAGGAAAATTAATTATTTATAATTGTACAGTATATACATAATTATAAGTAATAGGGATTTTGATTTCGTCAGATGTATCATAGATTACCATTGTATAATAATAAGGATAAGAATACAGTACTGCACAATTTTAGGCATATCTGCAACTACTGTATTTAATAAAACCAATATTATTTAGTGATCATATAGGTTTAATAGTAATAGTATAATTGATGATAATTAGGATAATAATTGATATCCAGGCATGTCCATTTTCTTCGTTGACATCACACTTGCCACATACTGTTGCCTCATATCGTGTGGTGCTGGC